TCCAATAGGTTCAAAGATGGTTTTAGAAGATTCTAATAGGTTCAAAGATGGTTCTAAAAGATTCCAATAGGTTCAAAGATGGTTCTAAAAGATTCCAATAGGTTCAAAGATGGTTCTAAAAGATTCCAATAGATTTTAAGAAAGTTCTAGAAGGTCACAGGAAATCTTGAAAGGTTCTAAGAGGCTTTAGATGATTTAAGAAGTTGCCAAAGAAGAACCTTAGGCTTGCTTTGTTTCCAAGCTTCATGAAAACTTCTCAAGAAGCTTCCTAGGACCTAGTATATAAGAGTTAAGGTTGAGAGGATCTTCAATCTCAACAATTTACTTCTTGTGGTCTAGTTAGGACCTTCTTGTCTTGTATCTAGTTATTGTTCTAATGTTGAACTAACTCCATTTCTTAATCTTAAATCCTTGTCTTATATACGGTCTCTAACAAAAATCCTAAAATATTAGATTTTGTTCATATTAATTGTAATGCCAATATATATATATATATATATATATATATATATATATATCAAAAGAGATAAAAATTAGATTCTTTCTTTTAATAAAAATATATCTATCTAATTTTAAGATTAAGATAGAAGCATAGGTTACTCATGAGGTTCAATAATAAACCTTCATTTATGCCTTGTAACATTGAAAAAAAATACAATCATAGTAAATATTAATATTTCTAATTATATATTTATTAAGTAATATTAAGTATTAGTACATGTATCTATTAATATAATTTTTAAGACAAAAAAATTATTATTGGATTAAATGTCTATAAAAAAAAATAGAAAATATATATATATTTTTTAAATATATTTGTTAATATTGCAATATTAATAAGGCACATCAACAATTCTTTTTTAAAAAATAACTACATGTATATAATATTTTAGATGTTATATTGCTAAATCTTGGATATTATAATACAATTAATTTTGGTTGCAAAAAATGATTAGTTGTTTGGATTTATAAATATTCCAATAATACTAGCTTAGTTTTTCTTATAAACCAAGGAATAGTTCTAAATTACATATAAAACTTACGAAGTAGACATGCAAATAAGGGTTTAAAAAAATATTGAAAATTTCTTCACAAATAAATGCATAGAATTTTTTAATAGCAAGTTTGGTGCATATTTTAAAGTTGAAGATATTTGGCACATGGTAACTCTAATTTATATGCATAAAACTATTTTAATGGTAGAATACATAATGCACACAATCTTTGAAGAAATATGTACAATTTTGGTAGTAATAAATTAAATAGTTAATATTAGGTTTTTTAATCTAATTTGTAACATAGATTCATAATCAACTACCACTTACAAGACTTTAAGATACAACACCATATGAAGTACTCTATGGTGATAAATCTTTACTCTCTTATGCTTATTGTTGAGAATGACTAGCTTGATATCATATACTAAAAAAAAAGTTTCAAAAGCTTGAATCCAAGGTTCAAAAGATATATTTTTTGGATATTCAAAAGTTGCAAAAAATACAAAATCTTTAAACCTAAAACTATGTAAGTCATTTTCAAAAAAGATGTGGTCTTTGTTAATGATTGTACCAATGAGACATTTGTTAGATCTTCATCAAGAGATAGAAAAATAGAAAGCAAGTTAAATCATGTTGCAAAATTTTAATTATAGTGCTCAAGAATAAAAAATGAACCACACAATTTAAAACCACAAGTCTATGTATAAACAAACCATGAAGAATTTGGCATGGATTCAAATTTTGAATCAATAGATACAAAAGAACATGATAGATGTGTCTAAAAAATGCAAGTAAAAGAATATTCTTTAAAATTATAATTATAATATTATAATATAAGTAGTATTTATTTAAAAAAATATTTTACAAAGAAAATAAATAAATAAATAACAACAAAAAAGACATTATAAGCTATGTGAAAGAAATGACAAGTTTGTGTAGGGAGATTTTAATCTTTTAATTGAAGTTTTAAATATTATTGATGCTAACCAACTTACAAATTTCAACATTGATTCTAAGATAATTTAGCAAATTATAAGCTCATCTTCTAATGAGAAATGAGAGCTTGTAATGAAAGAGAACTTAATTCTTTTATAGATATGGTACATAAGAATTTACAAATTTATTCAATTAATATAAAATTATTAATTTCAAATAAGTTTTTGAAATAAAACTTGCCAAAAATAAATCTAATAATTAATTAAAAATATAATTGATAGCAAAAGACTATTTATAATTTGAAGATATTACTTATTACAAAATATTTACATATATAACTTGTCTTGCAATAATTTGTATATATGTTGTAATTGTTATTATACTTGAATGGAATACATTGCAATTAGACATTGCTTGAACATACTTGAACAATAAATTGAATCAGAAAAACATCTACAAGAAGATTCTAAAGGATTCAGATATTTGATCTAAATAAATAAATAAAGTATTATGGTTATTGAAGACTTTGTATAGTTTAAAATAAGTTTAAAGATTATGGATTAAGAATATGGATATTTCTTTCTTAGTTATTTGTTAAAAATATTCATAATTTGATCCATGTTTATTTATAATATACATTAGTGATTTAGTATTTGTATTCATTGTTTATATTAATGATGTATTAATTGGTGGCCAAAATTTTAAGATTCTTGTAATTAAAAAAAAAAAAAAGTTGCAAGAATGTTATAAAGATAAAGATATCGATAAACTCAGTTATATCCTTGACAAAAACTTTTTATAAGACAAAGAAATTGGCACTATATTTTTAATCCAAATAAAGTACATTTCTTAAAAGCTAAAGAAATATAGAATACAAAATGAAAAAATCAATGGAAAATTATCTTACTAAATATTGAAATGACAATATATATATATATATATATATATATATATATATATATCTTATTAAATATTGAAATAGAAAATTGATAGATGTAAATAGAATAAAACTATATCAAAAAGCTATAAGGTCATTGTTGTACCTTACAAATAATATAAGGTACAATACTGCATTGGCATGTCAAGACTTTGTTTAATACATGGAAAATCTATATATTTCACATTAATAAGAGTCAAGTATATCTTCTATTATTTGTAATGTGTATATATATATATATATATATATATATTATAATATGGTTGAAAAGATGCAAGCTTACAACTTGTAGGTTATATTGTTGTAGTTTGGAAAGGTTGTAAGGTAAATTGTTGCTTTGTTGGTGGTTTCATATTCAAAATGGATGGCACAATAGTTACATGGTCTAGCAAGAAGCAACCTATTGTTTCTATTTCATCAATGAAAGTAGAATATGTTGTTGTAAAGGAGGCTTTGTGGCTATAAAAGATTATGAGAAATTACTAAATAAAGAAACTAGATTGAATCCTTATCTCCAAGGTTAACCAATCATGCATTGTGATTGTCAAGAAACTTACACATCACTATTGCACTAAATACTATAAAATCCAACATTATTTCATCAGACAATTTATAGAAACAGAAGACATCTAATTGAGATATTAGACTAATGAAAATATAATAGCAAATATTTTTACAAAACAAATCGCCAAGTGTGTTACCTTGCCAAAATGGTCCAGCACAGTGTAGAATCCACCATCTAACAAAGAAACATAAATCTAGTTCTTCTATTTTCACAACACAATCCCGGAGACAAATTTAGACTGATGGATAAGATAAACATGTATTTATTCCATCCCTTTACTGAGCACTGAAGAGGCTAGGTATGGTGGTTAAGGTGGATGCTGCAATGGGGAGGTCCCGGGTTTAATTCTTAGCTCTTGATTGTGCTACGTTCACAATTATTTTGAAACTTAACTCTTTCCCTTTGGCACTACATATTTGGGTGTCAGTAATATACTGTAGTGATGGGCTTAGTACTTCTCTGACCTGCCTCAGACTAGGCCACGGCATAAGAACGAAATTAGAACCTTGATCTATTCCGAATGCAGAATATTGCAAAACCGAAGTGCTTGCTGCAATCATACCGATGAATACGCAAGACAAGCTCGAAATATAAACGATTTTGGCATTGCCACAAGTTACCCCCAGCTGATCCTCTTCGCCAATGTCAATGTTTCTTGGTCTTGTAGCTTTTCTAACCTTGCTCCAATCTTCCTCGACACCGTGTTGCGCATACCAAACGCTGATACCTTCACATCTTCTATCAGCTAGGCTTTCTCGTTCGCCTGGTCGAGTGCCTCCTTCACTAGCTACTCCACTCGCAAGAGCGTGAAAACTTTGAACACCATTACAGGAGTCAGAAAACAACTGACGAGAAATTTTATGGAGTCATCATTAAATATCGCCACCGCTGAAACTGGCACATCAAGAATAAATAGTAATCTCAACTGATGTTGCTTCTCAATAAATCTAAGCAACTTAAGTTTCTAATTTATTCCTTCAATACATCTCGAATTACATTCTCGTTCGTCTACGACCCTATATGCACAAAAACAAAGTTTCATAGTACTCCAAAAACGCAGATGAATGAACATTAAAGTTGGCTTTTTGATAAACATTTCACAACCCAGCTTTGTTCTTCGAATCATATTCAGAAACACATTAGGCTGGATAGCGATCTATGAAGAAATGGCACCAACTGCAACCAGCAATTGATTGTTAAAACTTTTTGCAGTTCAAATTTACTACACAAACTACCACCCAGAAATTTATGATACGAACATCCAGATAATCGCAGAAGCAGAAGTAATCTATAATTGTAAGTTTAGTCAACAAGATATAATCTGATTAATTAATATAAGCATATCTTGTGTGTAAGAATGGTTATACACAATTCACACGATTTAACTAAAACATATATAATTTGAAATGTTTTCTTCAATTCTGCACATAATTTTTTTTGGGGGTTTAACAAATATATTCTTTAAATGGGGGTGGAGCTTTCTCACCCCTCGTCGTCTTGTGCATCCCCCTCCGTGGCTCTTGTGCCTCGTGTGTTGTGTTGTGTTGTTGCTTCGCTGCTGCTCTTCCTCTTTCTCTTCCTCCTCCTGCCCCGTTCCTTCTCGCTTCTCCTCTCCTCTCCCTCGCGTAACCCTAAACCTTTCCTTTCTCTCTGTTTCCCTTCCCTCGCAGCGTTCTATCACCGCCCTTCCTCTTCTCTTCTCTTCTCTTCTCTCTGTCTTCCCTCTGTTTCTCCCTCTCTCTCTCTCTCTTTTTGTTCATCCTGCGCTCTTCCTTCTTCTCTTGCCTCCTTAGGGCTTCTTCTCTTTCTTCTTCTTCCTCTGGTTCTTTTTATCCTCTCTTCTGCGCTTTCCTGGCAGCGGCTATGGTGACCGCGTCGGACGATGCTCTTCTGAAGGAGTTCTTTGCGGAAGTCAGTGATGTTGAACGCGACAATGAGGTACTGCGTGTCCTGGGTTGCTTTAAGCTGAACCCCTTTGAACATCTTAATCTGCCCTTTGACTCTGACATTGATGAAGTGAGAAGACAGTACCGCAAATTATCCTTGTTAATTCACCCTGATAAGTGCAAGCATCCTCGGGCTAATGAAGCCTTTGCCGCCCTCGCTAAAGCGCAACAATTACTGCTGGACCCCGCGGAACGAGATTACATTGTTTCTCAAATCAACTCAGCCAGAGATGAGTTGCGGTCTGAGAGGAGGAAGAAATTGAAACGTGACAATGCGTCTAAAATCAAGTCCATGGTAGATGAGGGGAAATTTGAGAATCAGTTTGAGCAGTCGGATGAGTTCCGGCAGGCTTGGAAGAAGCGTGTCAGAGAGATGTTGACAGAACAGGAGTGGAGACGGAGGAAGCTCACCATGCGCATTTCAGAAGAAGAGGGTAGGGTGAAGAAAGAGGAAGAGGAGACTCGGGAGATGTGGAAACACAAGCGGGAGCACGAGGAGAAGTGGGAAGAAACCAGAGAGAATAGGGTTTCTAGTTGGCGGAACTTTCAAAAAGGGGGTAAGAAAACCAAGAAGGGCGAGCTTCGTCCCCCAAAGCTGAAAACAGAGGATCCGAACAAGTCTTACGTACAACGGCCTGTGAAGAAAGGATGAGTACTATATCTCCAGGAAGTTTATACTTTAATTCTCACCCTTTCTTTCCAATTGGAAGCACAACTAAAACTTTGTGTCATCACACATTTCGAATTGAGGAACCTGTAGGCGAGAGAATGCTGAAGTAATGACGCACATGGGGAGGTGACTATGGTTCAAAAGATATGCAATCAGAAATTTGAGATTTGCGATTGTACCACTAGGAAATTAAGAGTCTTCGGGTAGTTACCCAGTCTAGGTCTGAAAATGGAGCCACCAGCCCTTTCTATGGAGATTATTGTAAAGATAGGTTATTGGGATGTTTCTATGCAGTGTATTGATAGAGAGGAAGAGGAGCCCTTAAGCATAATGATCAGCAGCTCGCAACAGGTTACTCGGAAATGTTCAATTCTGCTGGTAACATATGTAGTCCATTTCGGATGGATTTCGTGTTGGTTTATTCTTTACGCATTTGCTGCTGTTCACAAGTTTAAAAGTTGTAAAAAACTTACGCCGTGGTAGCCGGTCTCGAGGGATAATAACCTTAAAAACTTCTTTGTCTTTAATTACCAGAACTCATAGTTTTTGTGGCAGAATCGGTAAAAATGGCTGTCAAATTGTCTTGCAAATCCATGAGTCAGAGAGATCCCTGTAGGATGTGAAGTTGTGGCTCAACTCAGAACGTTGCAGTTAAGTAAGCAATGGGTTTGATTGCCTTTGTGAGTGTTGTGAATGTGCTCCGATAATGGATCCGCTTTTTCATCAGATCCAAGAGGTGCAAATAGTGTGTGAGCACCTGGGAAGAGACCAATTCATTACGAAGCGGGAGTTGTTTTGTGTTTTGCATGACTCCCCTTGTATCAGGTTCTGAATTCCAAAATTGGACTTGCCATCGTAAAAATCTCAACAATTTTGTTGAATAATAGGAATCCCTAGCGTAAGGCAAAGGCTCTATACTTAACCTTAAAATACTGGAACTTCGAAGTCACGGAACAATAATTATTCATTCACACTACCATTGTAAGATTATCACACGTTACATGTATTGCTAACCACATTTATTATCATGATGAAAGTGGTGGTGTCCTTCTGAACTCAATCGAATTATCGATTCCGAACAAAAAGATATGTACTGCATACCTCCTTACGAATACAATTAGTGATGTTTTACATTAGTAGATGTTTGCAATGAATTTTAACATGAGCCTAACTGGTACATATTAATCTAATATCTTAGTAGTATTGAAACGTACCAAAATGACTACATAACAGCCTAACAAATAAAAGTGAATAAAAGTACATTAAAAAATAAAATAAAATATAGAAATTGAAACAAGATGCATCAATCCTTTTGACAGTGTATCTAGAATTTAAACACGTAATCTTAAAATGATTATGGTTTTTTCTTTTTATTATATAAAACGATTGCGATAGGTACAATTTAGTCAGAAAGCCCTTCATCCTTGATAACTATAATTTTCATAGTTGACAAGCATCAAGGTCTAACAAACTTAAAATTAAATAGTGTGTGTACAAAGATTCAAAAGAAAACAAAATGGAACACTTAGATTTAGTTTCAAGGATGACACTACGGTTGTGAATTAGCTTTCAAATAGTCAATAGCATATTTTCATACACCCATTTGAGACATTTTCTTTTTTAAATGCACAAAAATGTATCAATGATGCTCCAAACTATATCATTAATAGAAAAAACCTCCACCTTACTGCAAAGCACATGCAACTTACTACGAAGTAATGAACCGTAGTGTGTGATTGTCCTGAGATCCTGCTGTAAAGTGACACAAAGTACTTCCTTCAAATCGCCGTTCTTCGGAGTTTCGTAATGGTTTGAAGGAGCCCTTCAACACTCTCATCACCACCACCTCGACAGCCTCCGCTGCGTCACCCGGCTGCCATGAGCAGCACATATAACATGGTAGCAGTCCAACTTGCAAATCCAAGCCCAGGTTGTCGGATCCTGGAGTTTGCAGATCCGTTTTCAGGCTGCGAAGAGTCTACGTGTGATGGCGTTGGGGCCAATCCTTCGTAGCCATTTAAGCCCCCGGCTTCACGAATGCTGCCGGCTGAGCTCTCGAACGTCCAGGACCACACTTTGTGTTGCGCGGTTCCACTCCTTGTGGCAGCCGAGAAACCAACATACATGTACTCATTCACAATTCCTGACAGGTCCAAGTCCACAGCTAACAAGGGAACATCAGGCTTCTGATATCCGCCGGTGGGGGAATAGGGCGCCAGAGTCACTTGCATCTTCCTCCCCTCCCCATCGTACTCAATCCATGTCTTGACATGCCCTTCGACCAAGCTCACTCCCTGGCTCCCCGATGCAGCTTCGCGCGCGACCACTGAATTCAATCTGAAAGTCGACACACTCACCGATTCTACTCAATTGACAAGCATGCCCAAGACAGTAGAAGACCCTACCCGATTTCTTATTCAGTGATGGTGCACATGGGTATCTCACTTACGTGTTGACATTCACACCAACGTGGTTGTTGCTGATATCCCAAAACTCAACATCTTGCTGCACGTCGAACTCGACAGCCACCATTTTGGCCTCTGTATTTGGAGCTGCAAAGCTGGTGCCAGCTGCTGGAGACAAAAGCCCCATCCATGCCCCTCCACTGCCCATGGTTACGTTGTCTGGGACGATCAAAAATGCTAAACCCTCACCTTCATTGTCCTTGTTAATCCCTGTTTCTATGGAAAAAATAAAAGTTGTCATGAAGGAGACCGAGGCTAGAGTGGAAGGCGTCTTGAATCGAATGGGATTCCTATACAATGCTCTACCACTGGCATTGATTGTGAGCTCTAATGCGAGGTCATTCTGTGCAACACTCGCATCTCCCAGGAGTGTGAGGTTACTTCGATCCTGAGAGAACTGGACAAACTGGAAGTTGAAGCTGCTACGTTGACCTAATGCACAGCAGCACAAAGTAAGAGTAGTGATGAGCTGCACCATGACTAGAGGTGCAGAGTTACAGTGGCTAACTAGCCATGGCTGACCAAGAGGAGGCTGCATAGTAGGAGTCAGAAAACAGTTTGAGGCTTAGTGGTTATGGCGGCAACGAACAGACCCAAGAATACGAAGGGACACGCAGCCAGAGAACTAAGAGAAGCTGGTATTGGTGCGATCTGAGAAGCTAAGAGTGTTTTTGCCTCACAAATAGGTCCCAAAGCTCTTGTAATGATCCGACAAACTAGAGAAGAAGAAGTAGAAGAAGAGTACGCGGACATGCCATAGTAAACGTCGTCCACTGATGCAGCTGGCTCTCGTTGTGTGCGACTCCCAACTACACTCCAAGCTCACTGCAAGTTCACTCCCCTAGTTTAGTATTCCCTCGTCTCTGCCACCACATCCGTCACGAGTAATGGTGCCCAAGGAGAACATTCGACACTAGGAAAGCTATGCAATTAATCGTTGCTGTAATGTGCGCAAGAATGAGCCTGTCGACCCTTGAGAAGCAAGGAGCCCTGGATGGCAGACCGAGGCAGGTTATATCTTGTCCCACCAGACGCAAGGCAAGAAATTTGTACTAGAATATGATCGATGGGAGTTTAAAAGTTGCTAATGTGGGATTTAGAGTAGACGATATGGTGTGACAATATATTTGAAGATGATTGTCAATGACAAGACCTTCGATAGAACACACACTTTTCACCAAAAGTGTTATGATGATGAACCTTATTCATAGGCTTGTTCACAGGATAATTTTCTTCAGTTTAACACCTTTGAAATATTTCACGGGCTTATCTTATGAACAATCTATTCCCTAGAACATCCTTCCCTCAGACCGATTTATTCATTTTATATGCCATTATGTTGTTTCTTCTTTCTCCGATGTCCCAGAACAAGCTGAAACCAATTTTAATTCCCACACGCGTCGGATTTAGACAAAGAGGTCACAAATACCCGTCAACATACCCTGTGATACATTGATGTCCGTATCTGCCCCCCTGAAAGCGATAATTCCAGAACATTACGTCATCACGCGGATGTAAGAGGCGGGTGTTAGCAAGATACCATGGGTCTTGCTCATAACATACCCGAAGGGGTGGACATAGTTACTCTACCAATTCGCTGTACAAATTCGAGACCGACTCATACTGTTTTGCTGGTGGCTCTACGACACCTCGTGTACAGCACCACCAGAACACTTCCCCAACTACACAAGTCTTTAACCTTTTGAAGACTACGTTTCCCTTCCCCGCGCTTCAAATTAATCGGCCCTTCCAGTTCATGGCCGATGGTATTCATCAAGGACCACTTTTCTAGCGACGGAATCACTTGGTGTAGTTCAGACACCCTCCTGTCACACACTATGTACATTAGGATACAGTACTGGTTCAATTTGACGGAGCCAAAGTGGTGGCAATGGTCTGACGATTAGTATGATCACTCCACAACCAGGCACGTTGTCGACACTGACAGTTGCAGTGTAATAATTGATGAACGATGAATCAATACCATCCAGTTAATAGCGTGTTACTGTCAACTCTTCACTTCATTTATGACATGGGACCATCTCTGAATGATAGTGATATTTTTAGCAGCAACGGGAAATTAAGGATTCGATACTGTCAGCATAATTTTACTTCGTAAAACCCAGGCGTCACATTCCAGCGCGACTTACTGGTGGTATCGTGATAGCCAAGCTCATTCCTACAACGAACCACTCGATCCCGAGGTGCTCTGCCTAAAACAAGGCGAGCATCTTGATCCCACATAGCGCCTACGCCTTTCTACAAGGCAAGCACGGTTGGACATGACAACCTTCAGGAGGAATCATCATGCGCTTGGTCAGTTGTCGAAACCTTGATTCATGAATCTCGAGAACATCTGGCGACGCATCCATTGCAAAAATACACGTGCGTAAGACGGGCGGGACAACAAATATATCCGTGAGATGAAACACATGGGGAACGAGGCCGTCAGCTACATTGACGATGCTAAATTGAGCTCCTCCAAGGTCATCAAACAAGGCATCTGCAAAATAACTTTCATTGATCGTCTAGAAGTACGACTTGGCATGAAGTTGCCCAGCTTTTCTCTTCTTCAAAGAGAAACTTCTACTCTATACGTGTCTAGGTATAGTGCGAGATCGATTTGATACGCATTTAAGTCAGAAATATTGGAAAATATTGGCAGATTGTACGCTTGACCTTGCCCATGGGTCCCTTCTCTCTCTTGTACTGAATATGACCAAAAAGGCACCAGGTTAGGTATTTGTACCTTTCTCAAAGTGAAACACGGATTCTTTATAGAAGTTATTACGAGACGCATTCATCATGAGATTATTCCAGTTCTACGCATAATCCCGAGAACATTGAAATGTACGAAGAGTAATGCTTATGCAAAGAATAATCTGTGAAGTTACAATACAACAGTATTATCACTGCAAGATGAGAACATGAGTACCATAGTAATGCTGTGATGCCTGGTTTTAGCTATTAGAAAGTCACGCAGGTTTAGAGCCCGTAGTCTTGGTACTCTTCCGACCCAATAAAGAGCGCAGTAAGCTCTTGCTCCGTGCTTGCGTACTCTTTGAATCATTTGCACCATTCTCAACTGCGTGCGTTGGAATCATAGTGGATGAGCGCGAAAAGCCAGCGCCCTAAGAAACAAAAACATGTCATTAGCATTCACACGTATTTGTTATGTTTTGAAGTCTAAAACCTAAACTCTAAGCTCCAAAATTTTGTTACGTCTTCGAGTCAATCGAATTTCAACTCAAACACACAACTCAAACCGACAACAACCTGATTTACAATACAAAAGGGCTAAGGCTTGATTACTCTTGCAATAACATAGACTTGCACGATAAGAAACAAGTCATACCCGCGTAGGAGCTGTTTTTGCAGGTGTGAAGGATCCGGATCTTTGGGTGCTGAGTTTAATCGACTCAGGATACTTAGAAGTGGATAAACCTGCTTCCGATGTCCTAGGCATTGAGTCACCGTTATCTACACACCCCACAAAAAAAAATGGAGTTCGGTAAGACATTAGAACCACCAATTACATACCACAATCTCAAAGACCACAAGATGGTAGTATCAATGAAAATCACAATATCCACCAGTTACCCCAATGCTCTTAAGTAGGTATCTCTAGTTACTTCAATCTCGAGGTATCAAACCCTATTCGTATCACCCTAAATGGATCAAATGGATTCGTCAACCCTAAATGGATCCATAAAGAAAATACTGCGCTGATTCTAGAACAAACGATAAGAGCTTGCTATGAAGCCTTAGAAACTTCTGCACTCCTTTTAAAAAAGCCAAAAGAAAATTTAACCAATAGCTAGACTTTGCTTGCTGCAGACGTTTAGATAATAAGCAACATCAAAGTGGACTTCATGCTCTTAGAAAAGAGCGATGAAGATGTGAGATGGTGAAAGTAAACAATACTTACACAGAGGGGGAGTGAGAAAAGAACCTTTCGACAAAGAAGCTTCCAACACCCTCCTACCAGAAGCTGTCGGTGGGGGAGTTCGCCGTCCAGTACTGTTAAAAAGCCAAATAACTCATGATATTGGTCTAGACCAGCATCCCACAATTAAAAAAACGTTTCAAATAAAAATGTTCCATAATGACAACACAAATGCAGATAAAACGGAATGATCAACTTAACTGACTAATCAAAACAAAAACTGTACCAAGAATTTCAAAAAACAATGATGCATAATGTCCATCCAAGTTCCGATGCCACTCATGTTGCCTCTACAGGAACTTTTTAAGGCATGATATCAAGTAGAATTTGCTAAGATCAAAAGGTGCATTGGATCTAAAAAAAACATGCCACCTACTCCGAGGCACATCAATGAGTATAGCAGAAGGGTACGATCTAGGTCGCGAGGACAACAATAATCACCTGATAGAACGCTTGCTACTGGTACTACCTTCACTTGTGGAAGTCGGTGCGGTTTCAGACGTAAAATGCCATGCCAAGGACTTAGATCCACTTGAACCTGCTCAAACAAGAACAGTTAGTTCACGAGTTCATGCATTTGCTATAATGCTCACAGAATTGCATACAAAGAGTTGCTGCAGCTTCTGCAATATGCTTTAATTTGGTTTTAAAACAGACGGATGAAGTTCACTATTTCATTGCATCAAGCAGGCTGCCCCATCATCTCATAGAACAATGAGCATACTGATTGACTCATATGCTCACCAACTGTCTCAACCCGGAAAAAGAGTACTACAATATTGTGAACCCGAGCTGCCCCTTATCTAAACAAACAACGGCAACAAGCAGAATCCGAACGATCATCATGCAGAAAGGATAAAAACTATTTAATTGATACAAACAAAAATAGGAGTTAATAAGGAGTTTCTGTTACTGGCAAAATCGGTCGGATAATCCTTCGCCAGCGGTTGTGGTTGCATTTGTGGAGTGGGAAGAGGATGTGATTCTGATTTCAATGGTGACATGTGGGAATGCACAGAATCAAAATTCTCCCGCACTAAAGAAAGGTTGAGCTCTCCTTCCGCACATGGATCTGTAAACATTCACATATATCAAGTAAGAACTTCATAATTTATACAATTTGATAGTTTGAAATTTGCTCCCCATACTGTCTTTCAAAAGGGGCAACCTATCGTCAGTTACGGAAGATGTACAGGCGGGTCAGTTCCTCGAGTATAATGTACATGTAGCTAAACCCCGTTTCCAGATCAGTTTCGCAGGTGTCTCACTTAAGGACAAAAAGAGAAGGGTGGAGGGAAATTTACCGGGTAAGACATAATGCTTGTGGTTAGCGTGCATTGTTTTTGCTAATGATTGCTGCTTCAGCCCTTCCCGATCTGAATGCTCTTGACATGAGCGCATTCGCTGCCATACGAAACAAATGAGAATAAGAGAAGAATTTCGATAGCAACCTGAGATCATATAACCTACTACCAATAGAGCAGCACACAAGACTCAGATTAGAAGACTTCGGCACCAAACATCCACGACATCCAAAAGGAGTAAATTGCTGCGAAGATGAAAGAAAATTAATGTAGACATTCGAGAGAAAAAACTGTGGCCCCAAAGTTGAAGATTGTACCTGAGCCACCGAAGCAGCTCGGAGTTCAGTTGCGGAAATTTCAGTTGTCTGCTGTCCAAGAAGGTCATTAAGCTTATACGCAACTGTTCCCAAATGGTCCACTGCATTGACCAATGCTTTCACCGAATAATCCTTCAGGTTGTCCAGCACCCTGGCACATGATATAAGACTTCGTGTGTGAGGGTACTAGACAGCTTCCGGCTCCAAGAAAAATGACTTTCACCCTTTCAAGTCTTTCCTCTCGTCCACGTATATGAAGCAGTAACAATAGCAGTGTAATGATTACACCAATGTAACAGAGACACCGAGAACCAAGGTAATCACAACAGCTCAAGAAGTCACAGCCAAACATTAAAAGAAAGATATCAATCAATACCAAATGTTATGGTATTACCGGACGGTTACTTGCATTAATCGTAATGCGGCTTCACATGCATTCCGTACATACCAATCTCGAAAGTTACAACGAAGAACTAAATGATGTACTACGTCAGAAATTCACCGAAGTCAAATGCTTGGAAATGTTGCAGCCGAAACATGATGGACTGTTGTCGGGAGGCAACACGAAATCAGCAATTCAGGGCAGTTGACAAAAGGGTGATTAAAGTCGTTTGGAGGAACTCACACTTGCTTCTGGTCACTGTAAAGATAAGAAGATTCACAATACTCAGCGGCTGAATAGAGTTGCGGACGAAGGTTCTTCAGCTCCTGCCCACAATGAAAAGAAACCCACTATCAATCCAAGTCTGCTTTCTAGATGTTCAAGATACAGGCACGAAGTGTAAAAGCAAACATAATTGGCGTACTGGAAGCGTTAGGAACACCCAACCTGACCTATTTATGAGGCTAACACAAGTACATGCCGTCAAGTGTCGCATTTAAAGATCGACATAACTGATAACACTCGCCACAAAGACCATATTCAATCAGGTTACAGCGAAGCAGTTTGTAAAATCGGAATATGCCAAAAACCAATAAGTAGTTTATACAGAGACTGTCGCATCCCTGTAATGTAAGATGGGATATATGAAAGAGAAAATGCGGTGAGGTTCAAGCAGCACGAAAGAAAAAGATGTCCTCACAAAGTAAATTCGTGTGTCAATTACTTAGTAGGTAATCCAATGGTTGAGAAAGGGCAAGAATATAAGCCTGATTCTTACTCTAAGCTGGCTGCTCAAAGTTCAAATCCTCAACCACAGATTTATCTCAGTTCAAACAGAGGTGAAATCTGCCCTTGTTGAGGCGGAGCACACATTCAAACTTCTTGACGAAATCTCTGTATGTAGAACAGCTAAATGTAACACCATAATACTGTGATCAAGGGGAGCTAAACAACAAGTAGGAAAACTTCCCCACGACAGCACTTCCGCGGCAGGGGGTTAATAAAAATTAAATTAAAAAATCCAGGAACAAGTCTTTAGCATGCTATGAGTGCAAGAATGGTCAGTAGCGTACTTTCAAAGCTTGGACAAAATGACGGCTGCGCTGCATTTCGAGCTCGTCAAAAGTCATGTGCACCGGATCCACATCTGCATCAGCCTCAAGTGATGGCGAGGTGCTGCGAGAGGGGGAAGCTCGGAGCGACGACTGAGGCGAGCGGCGGGGCGATACATTGGCCGCCACCGTGGCGGTACCCATAGTAGAGAACAGAAACCCTTTAGAGCTAAATCGAACAGGTTGAATCTTGGGGGGGGGGGGGGGTGCTCTCCAGGAAAACCCTGGAGAAAAGCCCTAGAAACCTTGGTCAGCGCAGGCTACCCATTCCATCGCAAATATAGTAGAACAGACGAGACCGGAGAGGAGGGGGGAGAAGAAGAAGAAGAAGAAGGACAAAACAAACAACAACAAGACCTTCTAATCTCTAGTAAGGGTAGGGGTTGTGATAGGGCTGCGAGGAGGGGGCTCGCGAAGGGGTGTAGCAGCAGGAAAGCATGAGGGCTCTCACTGAGCGCCTGTTGTTGTTGGTGTTGTCGTAGAAGTAGTAGAAGTAGTAGCAGTGCGTGGTGTCGGTGTGGAGCTTTCTGTGGCTGTGGCACGGTAGGGAGGCAAAAGAGAGGGGAAAGGGGGCAGGAGACGATAAGCGAAGCAATACAGACGATGCAATGGAATGCAAAGAGGAGACGAGACACGAGACACGAAATGAAGGGGGAAGCCACGCGAGAGAGGGGGACACTCTCGGTCGGGTCGGGGTGTTGTGGCCTATTCCATCGGAAACATCCCCACCTCCCTCCCTCCCGTTCCCTTCCTCCTCCTCCTCCTTTTTCCCGTTCCCCTCTTCCTCCCATGCGGTACGTTTTGATGAAGAGGAGCCCGACGGCAATAATGATGATGCAACAATGCCCATTTCTGTTATGTCTTTTCATCATGCTCTTCGCTGGCATAGATAAATATATAGATATATATAATGCAAGGCATTGTGGCAACCCTGTCCATCCTCTTGTCATGGATGTAAAAGAGAGAGAGACTGACTGACTGCTGTTTCCGCACATTGCCCATCGTCACATTCTCCTGCACCATCCAAAGCCTCTTGCTTCTTTTTCTTTATGCCACACCACCATGGTCACTGTTTTTACAATTCCTTCACTTCTACTCCTTCTCCTCCTCATTTCATAGCAGAAGCTAAGACTCAAGCAAGTTTTTACTGGAACAAAAGTATCCTTAGGATGGGTGTCCCCAATGAACAACATTCATCTCATTCACATATTTTGGCAAGTCCCCAACTCTCTAGTTGACTTATTTATTGTAATAGTCCATGCATAGCTGAGTTTAGGGTGCAACTCATTATCAAGAAAAATTGTGAATTCAATCTACAGAAGTATTTCTAAATCAAATTCTTGTTTGTATGTTTGTTGGAAAAGAAAAATACATGTATTTAATTAACATATAAACAAAGTTAAGACAACAACTAGTACATGTATTCAGATTCAATTCTAAAATCTTAAATATTCTAATAAATTAATTCAAAGTCTAAATATTCAATAAGTATCAAATAATTATTTTACATAGCATCTTATTGATGCAATCCAAATATAAAAAATTGACAACATATATCAATTAGAATCCTACTACCTTTCAAACATAATCCCAACATTTAGAAAATACAAAGCATAGGCACAACTTTAGTTTAGATGTTATCATATGTACATATTTATCAAATAGAATTCATTCATTAGATACTTAGTACAAGCTTACAAAGTACTTGTCAAGGACATGAACCTCAAAGAACCAAAAGGTTAATTCATTCTAATATTATTCAAAATGACTATAAAATCAGTAAAAGATGATATAGTATTAAACTAGAATAGCTATTGTTAAAGACAAGAAAACTAAAAAGTCTTGAAATAATACTAAGGAATAAAAAGTCTTTGACAAGAGTAAAGAAGGCTTTACTCTTGCTCCCATATATACTATCTAATTAAGAGCTAAGTAATGATGTTCTATAGGACCTGAACTTAGTTGTTGTATTGTTGTTCAGCTACCATTTGAAAATAATGCACATATATATTTAATATATAATTTATTATTTAATGTGGTGAAATCCATACTATTAAATTTTAGTTACTCATAAAATATGATTAGATTACTACTTTAAAGTAGTTAGTATAAAAAGACTAATATTGAGGTTGATTTTATATTGATAATAATTTTTATATATTTAGAACCATCTTTATTAGACATTGGTGATTCTTGAAATCTTATTTTTTTTTATTATTATTTGGTTTTTAGGACATATATTATATAAATTTTATAAAAAAAATGTTGGAGAGGGATTTTAGTAGCAAAAAAAGTAATTAGGGCATCCATATGATTGAATGGAGATAGATGATGAAAATTTCCATTGTTATTAGCCAAAAGGCATGTCCAATGGGCTTCAAGGAGGCTGCTTAAGGCCTTATTAGGAATTAGGGTTATTCTTTCAAGGCCATTTGAACTTAGGAGACTAAAATCATAAAGTTTAGGTTTTTGGCTATAGTTTTGGTGCAAATTTTGTGCAATTTTGAGCTTCTATGAAATAGATATAGGCGCTTAAAGTTAAAATATTGGTTTTGTATCTATTGTCACTCATTTAGGCATAAGACATGTGTACAAGAAGCAATAAAGGATATGAGACTAAGATTTAAAAGAGCACTTTTTTTGCTATACTTTTAACATATTACTAGATGAATTCTAAGCTAGAATAGAGGAGATATAGGAAGTTGAAGTCAACACTTGCAATCTAAAGACAATAAGTAATCCAATTTACTAGTCATTGTATTTTGAATTATATCTTGAGAAATTTGACTAGATTTTGGCTCAAAATTTCAAGAATGTATATTATCATACTACTTAACTTTCAACTCAAATTTTATAGTATTTAGGATTTGGATTTTTGAGATATAAAGAAAATATTACTCAGATGCTTATAAATTAGGGTTTAAAGCACTTGCTAGGATTTCTAAGATGCCAAATGATCTGTAGTAGATTTATGGTTTATTTTTTTTATAATAAAGTTTAAGCATAAAGTCTACATTATCTAAAAATTTGAAAAAAACTAAATAATTGGATCAAGAGATATGAATCTCTAAAGTTTAGGGAGGAAAAATCTTTTGTAAGAGAAAAATATTTTAAAAAAGTTTTGCTATAATTTGGATATTTAATACAAAGTAAAGGCATTTTCGAAAGGCAAGATTTTATTTATATATGAAAGATAGAGATATGGAACTATGAAAATAATATAATACAAAGATATATTTTTGAAAAGAAATTATAGATTCTTTTTGAATTTACTAGAAATCTAACTTATTGGCAAATAGTTAGTTATGATTTAGTATAAAAAAAGATATTAGAACATTTCTAAATGCTTTAGAAAGCCTTATGTAGAAAGCTTCTTAAATATAAAAAGGATCATTAGTATAATATCTTTTGATATTATTTTATATTATATTATATTATATTATTTTATAATAAGGATACATTAATTATTGAAACTTGGCTAATAAGTTAAAGCTAAACTGTCTATAGCCTAATACCTGATATATTTTTAGATAGAAAATCACACCATATGACAACATGTTGACTTTGTAAGACACATGTCAACTTGCAAGGCAAGTTTTTTATATATAATCCATATAGTTAGCTTGTTCCATAAGCTACTAATAAATATAGGATATAATTAATTTAATAAATAAGTTATTAACTTATCAATCAGCTACAAATACATGTAAAGTCAAAATCACATTTATGAAGTTTTTTTAGAAGATATTATGAAATTAAATTATATTTATTTTATTTATTTCTACTTAATCATATAAGTAATTATTGGAATAAATATGTATGTCCATGACATTATCTTTCCTTTTAGGAACAAATTCCACGAGAAGCAATCATCATCTTCATAGATCTTGTTATTCTTTATTTTAGTTTTAATACATGTTATTGATAAAAAGCTTCAACCTTCTTTGTTACATTTGAAAGATTTTTTGATGGCTTTCATGTGCATTCACTAATATCATATCCATGCCAATGAGTAAGATATTTCAATCTATTTTGGAATCACCTTGAATCTTAGATTGCTTCCACATTGAACTTTTAATTATTATCCATTTCTATAAGAAAAGGTGGCATTTGTCTTCTTCTTAAGATATTCATTATCTTATAAGGCTCAAGAAGAAAAGCATGGAATATAGAATAAATCTTCATAAACAACTTTGATAGATATAATCAATAAGTAACATGATTGACTTGTTCACAAAAAAGATAAGGTCCAAGCTTGTGTTAATCCAATTTGTCATAAAGACAAGTAGTCTTAATGTTGTAACAAAGTAACCATACCTTATAACTTATGAAGAATTATGGTTTTTTCTTACAATAGGCATTTGTATTGATCTTTTGTTATTCTTGAGCTTCCTTTAACTACATCTTTATTGTTGCATAAAATTTTAACAAATAATTTTTTAAAATATTTTTTCACATAATTATCAATTTTTAAAAAGTCAAAACTATCAAGTTAAGGCTTATAATCATAATTAAAAAACTATATTTATTATTTAAAAGAATATATTGATTTATTGTATACAAATTTTACTAATGGCAAAAGAGTTGCTCAATTATCTTGATGATAATTGATAATATACTTCAAATACTCCTCTGAAATTTCATTCACATGTTTCATTTGTCCATTAGTTTGACAATTGAAGGCTGAAAAAAAAATTATATGTACCTTTATTATCATAAAAAAGATTCTCAAAAATCTTGATATAAATTATATCCCTCTATCTGATATAATATCTTTGGCAATCTATGATAACAATAAATATTGTTAAAAAAAACTTAGTTGTTTCTTCACCTAAAATAAATTTTATATATGGAATAAAATGTGTCATTTTGGTGAAGCAATCTATAATCACAAATATAAAATCATATAAAATTGAATCAAAAAGATCTATAATAAAATCCATAGAAATAAAAGACCATGGTTGTTTTGGTATAGGCAATAATTGAAGAAGTCTATAGGATCAATGACAAAGAGTTTTTGATCTTAAACAAACATTATATGATTGTACAAAGTCTTTCACAACCTTTCATATTTGCAGCTACAAAAAATCTCTTGATATTAGCTCCAAAGTCTTATTGTATTCAAAATGTGCTCTCATTAGAAAATTATAATGTAGTTGAAGAACATGTAAACGCATTTCTTCTTCTGGAATATATGAACAACCTTTGAAATAGAATAGATTGTTCTTAAGTTTGAACTTAGAAGTATCATAAGACTTAAAAATAAAAATTCTTGATATCATGAACAAGAAGATTAGAAGATATACTTATTTGAATTTGCTTGATAAAGGTTGAATCAAAAATTAATGTTGATTTTATTACTTATAGATGAAAATGGTTTAGTTTCAAGAAAATCATTCTTTGTTGATGAAAAGATGAATTTTTTTTTATATATAAGATAAAAATATCTAAAATAAGTATTTTATAAACCTTGTTGTTTTTTGGATCAATAAGTGATCTTGAAATCAAATCTTAACAAAGACATGCTCCAACAAGCTTTGCTATAATTCAAAATACATGCTGTAACGAAATACTTAAGATTCTTATAATTTATATATTAGGTGATGAGACTAAAAGCGCCTTCTAGATAATGACGCTATTTTTGAAATGAATCCTTAATTTCAAAAAGTTCTTTATCATAAATCTCGTATTTAATATTGAGATC